AAGGAGTATTACTTTGAAAAACAAAGCTTCAAAACAAAACATCTTTATGAATCTCTCTGAAAGTTTTGGAGGCTTGTGTTTCGATTTATAAATTCTTCAGATGAATCTCTGAATTATGAAAGGGAGCTCTGAAGATTTGCACCCCCAATAATTAATAAACCCTGAGAACTGGGAAGGCCTGGCATTTGAGCATTCTAAGTGGAGGTCAGCTGTTACCAATGATGCCATGTATTTTGAAGAGGCACCAATAGAGGGCGAAAGGGAGAAACATGCCAAGAGGAGGGAGGCCCGTCAAGCAAACCCTTGTTGGGACCACCTTCCACCTTGAAATTTATGTCCTCAATGTATAAGGCTTTCTGGATCCAGAATAGGTCTCTACAACAGACCGACTGCCATGACTCTACTCTTGGAAGACAACCATACTTGGCCATAAGTGATTGCCTCCAGACATAGATGATGAAGCCCTTCCACTTCATGATGGATCAGCAATCTCTTTCATTTGTTGTGCCTGCTATCCATCCATTAGAATACTTTGCAATACAATTAAATGATCTCTAGCATTCCAATGCTAAATATTTTACACCCTTCCAAAAGGAGGACCCTCATCTGTGGCTAACAGGATTGGTATAATTTCATAATCTGTAGGATGGCAGAAGAAATTGTGATCTGATAGTTCTTCCCCAGATGATTTGTTCCTATTTTTAAAATACGAAAGAATGAAGTCTTTTTTCATAAGCTGGCCCTGTTCAATTAATGATGTAGGAAGGACATGGAAGGATGGTAGCTGGCAGACCTTTTGACCTAGGATGCCCCTGACTGTGACACCCACTGAGTGGGGTTGATGGGTTTGCTCCACTCCAGAGGATTCTGGACAATGCCAGGAATATGCAGGCAAAGGTTATGGAGTTCACGCTATTCCCCAAAATCAATGATTTGTGGCCAAATTCAGCTGGTCAACCTTCTTATTTTCTATTTTAGAAAAAACAACCTTTGGCAAATACAGAGTGGAATTTAGCTGCTCAGTTTAAGGAAGTGGGCATTCTTCTCAAGTGTGTTCATAGTCACAAGGAAAATCCTTGGTTTTACTTTGGTTTTGCCATGGCCTTGGTCAATGTTTCCCAAACTTTGGTCTTCCTAATGTTTTGGACTTCAGCTCCCAGAATTCTTCATTATTGGCCAACTGGTTGGGGCTTCTGGGAGTTGAAGTCCAAAAACGTTGAAAGACCAAAACTTGGGAACTAGTGATCTAGGGAAACAGCCAGGAGCCCATCATTTTTACTTGCATGTTTGTCGACTACATTTTTTTAGAGCAGGGCAGTATAGATAACACTGGGTGGTGTAGAAAGGACATTGGGATCTACTTTTCAATAGTAGCAGCATAATTCTCCACAAATCTCACCAGGCAAAGGGAAATCACCCTGAGTCCCCTCGGGGAGATAGGGCAGGTTACAAATAAATAATAATAATAATAATAATAATAATAATAATAATAATAATTATTATTATTATTATTATTATTATCAGCCATCCCCTGCCACGTGTTGCTGTGGCCCTGTCTGGTGATCTGGAATATAATATATGTAATTTCTTTATGCTTGTGAGTAAACAGTATTTCTTGTTGTTTCTTTGTCAGTGTTGATGTCAGAAGGGTTGCCAAAGACCACCAGAAAACGCAGTATTTTCTGTTGGTCATGGGAGTTTTGTGTGGGAAGTTTGGCCCAATTCTATTGTTGGTGGGGTTCAGAATGCTCTTTGATTGTAGGTGAACTATAAATCCCAGCAACTACAACTCCCAAATGTCAAAGTCTATTTTCCCCAAACTCCATCTGTATTCATATTTGGGCATATGGAATATTTGTGCCAAGTTTGGTCTAGATCCTTCATTGTTTGAGCCCACTATGCTCTCTGAATGTAGGTGAACTACAACTCCAAAACTCAAGGTCAATGCCCACCAAACCCTTCTAGTGTTTGCTATTGGTCATGGGAGTCCTGAGTACCAAGTTTAGTTCAATTCCATTGTTGGTGGAGTTCAGAATGCTCTTTGATAGTAGGTTAACTATAAATCCCAGCAACTGCAACTCTCAAATGACAAAATCATTGTTTTTTTAGTGATGGTCACTCCTTTGGTTAGTAGGTGTGTTGTGGCTAAATTTGGTGGCAATACGTCCAGCAGATTTTGAGTTATGATGTCACTCAAAACAAACAGAGCATTTAGATAGATAGATAGATAGATAGATAGATAGATAGATAGATAGATAGATAGATAGGGTGGAACCTGGACAGAACGAGGATTAAATCTGGAAATCTGTGTGAAGGCCTTACTTCTCTCCCTAAAGGAAATATCTGCAATAGTGAAGAAAGAGTAACTGGCCTTGTTTGCCCCATATATATGTTTCTTTGGTTTTGGGATCTGATGGCCATGGGCAGTTCTAAATTGTTTAGCTGCAAAGAACCTTAAAAAGTAATAAGATAAATCATAATACACAGAGCAAATAGATTTATTAGCCTCTAATGCAATTTATTTGCTTTTCATTAAACATTCTGATAGGGTCTTATTAAAGTACCATGTTTTATTTATCAGGCCGCCTCTGTGAATGGGCAAAAGGGGGATTTTTTTAAGAAAAAGAGAGAGAGAGAGAAGGGAGGAAAGAACGAAAGAAAGAGGAAATCTATCAGCTTAGGGCATTTGCTGAATAACATGTTTACTGTGCTAGAAAAGAGAAGGAGTAGCCAGGGATACTTCTGTCAGAACAAGAGACTGCTTAAGGCAAAGAGAGAGAATGCAAAGAGGAGGGAGGAAAATGGGGGGAAAGTGGCAATAAGGGACTTCATTTCATATTAGGCTTTGGGTCCCTTTTCTTTTGTGTGTGCTGCCTACTACTATATCTCGGCTTTTAATTCCCCCACTCCTCTCCTTTTTCCCCCCTTTTCTTTTTGCATTATAAATTAATTTGTGCTGTTCAGTGTAGCAGTGATATCTGAGTTGCTCCAGCTTACGATATATACTGCAAAGGCATGGACGTCCACAGCGCATGAAAGAAAACCCTCTTTTGTAAGTCTCTGGTTTATTTATTTATATAGATATATAGATAGACATATTACTTTGTTTAGCCATTTCATAACAGGGTGTTGGGGAGCGGAGGTGGTGCAGGCTTGTTACGAGAGCTCTCTTTCAATGGGGAGGGAATCTTTGGCTTCCCAAAGGCCCCTTTTTCCAAGCCATGTGGGTGGGGTTCCTGCAGCAAGATTGCTATAGATGTGCCCCCTTTTCTTTAAGGAGCTTTCCCCAATGTTGCCATGTTTGCAACTCTCAGGTTGTAACAGCTAATGACTTTTCAAGTTGAGAGCTGTTTGTCAGAATATCAAAGAATCCTCTAGCGACCAGTTTGCATTTTAGCTAAATGGGGGCTTTGTGGGGGAGGGAATGGGGTCCCTATTTAAAAAAGGTTGTGTTCTCCCATTAGTATATCAAGCACAGAGAACACAGAGTGCAACGAATGGCACTGATGAAATTTCTGTGTACATTTATTATTCTTGAGCCTTCTTCCAAATGTTTTGTGCCACTTGGTATACATTTTTAGCCTCCTCTTCTTTGGCATCTTACTTTCTTTAAAGTTCCATCCCCGATGAATATTTCAAAAGTTTTTTTGTGCCTCTCTCTCTCTTTTCCCCCCTCTTTAAAAGGCAACTTTAAACATGCAAGGGGAATCCTGAAGTAAATTCTTGAAAGTTAAGCTGCCTTATGGAAGAATTAATAATGCAGGAAAATTGTCAAATTCCATTTTGAAGAACACTGGTATCTTTTTTGCTGCATCGTCATAGGACGGCGTGGGGGGGGGGGAGAGGGAATTTGACCTCAAGGACAAGTTTGGAGCAGAAATGGTTTAATTTGCAGATCACATCCTTTTTTTTATTGCATGAGGACTAACTAGATTGACTAATGAATAATTATTGCTCCATAAAATAAAAAAGGGGAGGGAGGCAGTCAGCAATGGCTGCATACTAATTCTGGGGAGGCACATGGCGCTCTCTTAAGTAAAAAAGTAAACATGCGATTCCCTCCCAGGGACTTCAAGGGCTGTTTGCTCATGTAACCTGACACAGTCGCCTCTTGTAATGGGCTGTCCTTCTGACACATTTTATTGCCATAAAATGATATGCTGATACATGCATATGATCTGGCCATATGTGTGTGTGTGTGTGTGCATGTGTTATGATGTATGTTTGTGTGACTGAGGAAGAAGAGGGCAGAGGAGGAGGAGGAAAAAAAGAGTCTACCACACTATGCACATATTCTTAATCTAATTGCCTAAAGCAATTTATTATTATTTCTATTCTTCTTGTTGTCTTTATTTTTTAAAAAAACTGTTCCTGTGAAAATGAAGGTTGTGGTACAAAGTGCAAGAAACTGGGAATTGCAATTTGTGTGTGTGTGTATGTGTGTGTGTGGATAAAGAGAGAGAGATACACACGTATATATTTCAAAGCATTGAAATTTGAGTCGCTATATTATTCTCTTTGTTTCTTCTCTTTTTCCATCAACCCTCACTTATAAAAATTGAATCATTTTCTCTTTATGTACAATTCCTATGAGAGCTTAATATTGATAATAGTAATAATAATAATGGTGTTATTATTGCAATTAGTATGTAGCTTAGCCATTCTTTTTCCTGCTCTTGTGTGGAGATGCCGGGTTGCATTCCTGATGCAAAACGGCTCGGGATAAATCGGAGTTCAAGCTTCTTGCACAAATCAGGCATGCAAAGTCCATCTGGGTGCATATCTGGAGGCAAACCAGCCCGATAGATAGCTAGTGATCAAAGATAGGTGGATAGATAGATTTTGAGAGTGTTTAACTTTCTATGTACTCTCCATCTTTGCCTTGTGTCTCCACAGGCACCTTTCCATCTTGACTCTTCTGGAGAAAAGGGATCCCCTTTCTGTTTGTCAGGTGTGGGTCTCTTGGGGGGGGGGGGACTCGAGAGGAAGGGGTATCATTGGTGGTGAATCATAACAGGCTTTTTGGTCCCAGCTGGACAGCGACATTAATTGCCCAAACCCTCATGGCTGTATACGATGCTCCTCTTTCTCTCCCGCTCTCCTTCTCTATCCTCCCTGGGGATTGTTTTAATTTGAATTTTGGTGAGTGGTAAAGAGACCCTGCCCGGACTAGGACCCATTTGACAAATGAGCAGCGCCGTATAGCATCCGTCGTGCCAGAAGGAGTCTCCCTATGAGAATCCCTCTCTCGCTCTGCCTCTTTCTCAGCCTCTGTACCAGAGAGCAGCTTTCAATGTGGAGAAAACCCTTCACACGCCGAATGTCACCAAAGGGGAGTTTTCAGTCGCTCGGTGTAGTAGGAGCAGGAGGCGGCTTTTTCTTTCTCGCTTATTAAATCCATCCCCTCCTCCTTTCACAGTCCTTCTTCTGTCCCTTTCCCCCTCTTTTGTTGACTTGTTTGTTTGCGGGTGGGGTTTAGCCGTTGGCAGAAAGAGGCCCCATCACTGCCAATACCCACATGCACCGCAATGTCTCCCAAGGCCTTGTCCTGACCAAGGCATGTAGGGCTTTGAGCAGCCAGATCTGGGGAGTGAGAACCTAAAAGAGCCCCAGGCAGACCCGTGAGTGTGTGGGGGACCCTGGAGACATTTCTCTCTTCTTTTGGTTCTATGTGCTTAAAGAGAACACCTTTGAGGCGGCAGCAAGAAAGGGTTGGTGGCAGTGTGGTGTTGGTGGGGGGGGTGGGAAACAGAGAAAGAGCAAGGGATTGAGAGAGAGAGAAACAAATAACCCATCTTGCCCGGGTGAGTCAGGACCAACGTGTTCACATGCAAGCCCCGTCAGTTGTCCTACGTCGAGTTCAGAGCAGCAACATGCAACAACCGATCACGGGGACAACCTGCGTGGCACTTCCGAATGTCAGCATGTGTCCTCAGCTGTCCTGTGCCTTGACTTTTATGTACTTACAGCAGGTAAGTCGGCGCAACTTTTCCTTTGCCTCTCTTCCTCCTGTCTTTCTCGTTCTCTGTCTCTCTCGGTTTGGTCATTCCCGCTACTTGTCACTGTATTGTCTGTACCTCATGGAGTGGAAAGAGCTTTCTGCCTGAATGGAATGTGTAATTGTCTCTCTTTCTTTCTCTTTCTCTCAATCTCACGCGCGTACGTTTTGTGTGCTCCTTTGTACGGCAGCGTTTGAATAATCCAAATTTTTCATTTCTGCAAAAAAGTGCTCTTCTGATACTATGTTTAGTGGCATCACTTGCTATCTTGTGATACCAAAATTTGGGAAGTTTTACAGTGTATCTGTCTCTCTTTTACCCTCCGTCCTACCTCCGCCTGGCTTTTCTGTGAACAATTGCTATGTTGGATTCCTAAAGACATTGCTTTGTTAAGGGATGCAGGATTTCTGTGACACCAAATCTAGACAATATTTGTGTGTGTGTGTGTGTGGAAATGAAAATACTTAACCTTCTCCCAGTTCTCCCTCTCCCCCCCCCCCCGAGTATTAAATGATGTTCCAAAGTTTAAACCTCTTCATGCACATTATGGCATGTGAGGTCTTTGTTGAAATAAGATGCAGATGGAGGACAAATTAAAAAAGGAAGAAGCATGTTTTCAATAAAACTATAGAACTTGATTAGTTTAGATTATGAGTGATTGTAAATTGGTGACCCCCATCTGGGCATTTGCAAATGGGCATTGTGTTGGGGGAATTTCCGTCTGGGGCAGATAGGATGTGAGCATCTCCACCTTAAGTTATTTTAAGCATCTTATTCTTATTTTCGCTCACTTTTTTTTTACTTAGGCATTTTTTTCAAGTCCATTGCTCCATTTCTCATGAAATCACACACACACACAAAGAGAAAGACTTGCATCCTGCTAACACTCAGCATTCAAGTCCCTTTACTCAGAGGTAAATCCCATAGCAATCAGGAAAGGTTTTCTCCCTGGCAAATGTGGTAATCCTCAAAGTGTTGGCATCTCAAGGCGCCCCGGTTTCTGCTCAGAATTTGTATTGTCATGTATAGTTTTGTGAGTAATAAGCTAAGCCTGGCATGAGAGAGAGGATGTGCGGTGGATTTTAAAAGCAAGATTAAAACATATTGTCATGCAAATGTGATTAATTGCATTTATTCTGTTGAGAATGCCATCTCCCCCCCTCCTCCCCCTTTATGTGTTTACTATGGCTCAGCTGAAGCGTACGGTACAGTGGTGTTTATCTATTAACAGTCAGCTACTATGCTAGTTTAGATGTCACACAGAGAATTGCACCGAGCAATGCTTCCTTGATTGCCTCTTTTATTTGATGTTTAATTTTTATAATCCAAATCCAAAAGAATATATATATATTCCTAATTTCTAGGGATGCCTCATCTTCCTTAAAATAAAACCAGACAGATGGCATGCCCTGATGTGTCTTTTAAAAGGTGGGCAATTACAGGAAAGCCTTGTGTTTGCAAACAAATTGAAGCTGCTCCGGTGGATTTCTCTCGCATGCATCTAGGACTCTGGGCTGGGAATTGACTCTGGCATCAAGAAACAAAACTGTATATTAAAAAGGTTCATGTCTACGGACTAGCATATGGATGTATGTGGGAGGGTGTCATGTGCTCACAATTAAAATTAGCCTTAAGCCTTTCGGATCTAGTTTAAAAGGGGGGGGGGAGTCTTAATTTAAAATCTCATTCTTGCTGACTTGCCTTCTGTGTATGTCTATTAAAACAAATGGCTTATGGGGTATATCTTTAAAGATGTATGTCTTTCTGCGTGGATGTATTAGAGGAACAAGAGATGAAAGAAGGGCAGTGAAGGAGGAAGATAGAAAAAAGGAGGGAGAAGGGGGTAAGAAAGAGAAGAAGGGAGGGAGGGAAGGGGGAGTGTTTCCTTCTATTGTTTAGTGAACTTTTAAAAAGGTACCATTTAACATACCAGCTTGTGAAAAGTCGACTGTGACCAAAGGTGAGAGGTCAAGCGTGCCCCACAAGGAGCCGCTAAAGGATTACATAAATACTAGGTCAGGCGGTGAAGGGGGGAAAGGGGGTGAGGGGAAGAATCTCTTCCCTCTGTGCTGAACTGCATGAGCTGTGTGCAATCATTGTCTCCCTTCCGCCATGCATTCCTGATGTAAGGAAATCCATGCAGGCAGATGATGGCTTGGAAGTGGTGCGTCCAGGGGCGCCTATCCTGCTGTAGGCAAGAGATGAGGAGTTACCATCATGCCTGCCCAAATGTATTGTCCCCTGAAGATCCCCCCACCCAAATTGCTCACAGGGTTCCCTCCGAGGTGTGGAATGGGGTGCCATTAATTTTCTCACCCTTTTCACTTCCTTCTTATAAAATTATACACACACTCATACAGAAGACATGTTTCACAATGTGGCAGTGAGCACCCTATGATGAAGTTCAGGCTACATGGGTAAGGAAACTTAAGGTTTGTCCAGTCACTTTAAAAAAAACTCCAAAGACTATATGATACTAAATATATTTGACTCGCGTTGTTCTTGCATTTATGAAAAAAATAAATATTATCTTAAATTATATATTTATCACATGTGATACTTGGGTTTCTTTCTCTCCTCATTCTTTTCCTGTGGGGAGGATAAAGGAGGAGATGGAGATGAGGTGGGTAGAAAGAGGTGGAGGGAAAGAAAGGAGAAGAAGATGGAGGAGGAGGGAAGGATGAGAAAGTGAAGAAGAGAAAGAGGGAAGAAGGAGGTAGAGGAGGGATTGTTTTACGGAGGAGGGAAAGCGGAGAATAAGGACGGAGGGAAAACAAGAATAAGGAGGGGCCGACGGAGGAGCACCGTACGGAATAGGAGGGAGGGAGGCATGAAAGAAGTGATAGGACGAGGATTGAGCGGAATAAGAAGTAAGTGGCCCGAGGAGGCAAAATTGAAAAGAAGAGGAGGGAGGGAGGGAGATGGGAAATGAGGAAGAAGAGGAACCGAGGGGGAAGAAGATTAATCCGCCTAAGAGTGTGAAAAAGCAGCAGATGAGGAAGAAGACTGCCCGGTCGTATTGTTCTTCTTTACCCCATCCTAGTAGTTTCGGAGTATATACTCCTCCTTCTCCTCTTCTTTCTCTTCCTCCTCTTCTGCCTCCTCCTTTCTTTTCTTCCTCTTCCCCTCCTCCTCTTGTTTTTTCTTCTTTCTCTCCTCCTCTTCTTCCTCCTCCTCTTCATCCTCCTCCTTCCTTTTCTTCTTCTCTCCCCTCCTCCTCCTCTACTTCTTTTTTCTCATCCTCCTCTTTGTCTTCTTCCATCTTTTCCTTGTCTTTCTCCAGCCAAAGAGTGCTGGGGGGGGGGGGGGGAGAGAAAGAATAAATTGTATAAGAGAAAATCTTGCTCTTTGGGAATACATATTTCCCTATTAGATTCCTGGCAGAATATCTGGGTAGGGAGGGGGGGGAGGGCATGGGCATGGGTTCCACCATATACTTTATTGCTGAGCATCGCGTAGCCCTAACTAGATGTCGCTCACATTCTTCTGCTGAAATGTCGACCTGGGTCTCTTTCTCCCAAGCCTGTTTGCTAGTGATCTGCCTTGACTAACACTTAACAAAATTTGGAATGACTCTTCCACTCCTTTCAAATCAATAACTTGATAAGCCACACCCATTTTGCACAACTTATTTGCATTCCACCACAACTTAGTGGCATTCCACCACAAAAGCAAAACTTGCTAAAATAAATACAATACACACTTTTTATTTTATATCAATTACTAGCTGTCCCCTGCCATACATTGCTGTGGCTCAATCTGTGTATATGTGTTTTGTGTGTGTGTGTGTATTTGTGTATATGTGTACATGTGTATATATGTGTGCTTGCATTTATATATATGATTTTGCTTTTTAAGTCTCTTCCACTGTGTTTTTCAGAATTTTTATGTGTGATGATCACTTGTTGGCCTGATAGGTGTATTGTGTCCAAATTTGGTGTCAATTTGTTCAGTGGTTTTTGAGTTATGTTACTCCCACAAACGAACATTACATTTTTATTTATATAGATGAAGTATGCGCCTTCTCAGAAGTTGATATAGGCAAATGCATGAGTCAGAGGGTTGTTTCCTTTTTAATTAGAAAACAGACATTTTTCTCCCCAACTATAGTTTCCTTTCATTTCTCTTTCAATGAAAAAAAGGAGAAGTCTTAGACTCCCTCATTGAAAAGGTGTTTGCCTACTCTCCTGTACAACAGTAATTTATTTCTTGATCAGCCTATTCAGTTTATAGGCTCTCTGTTCCTTAGCTGAAATGTCTTAAAAGGTCACAAAATAGGGGGTTTCCCCACGCACACTAATGGCAAGTTGTGTTTTGCAAGTATTGTTGAGAAATACTTACAGCCCCTATTAGTATCCTTGTTGTATTTTTGATGGTACGCAGCAGTTTATATTGATATCTTAGAAAACTGGGAAGAAGACATTGTTAAATCCCGAAACCTGAACTTAAGGCTTTGCCTGTATTATAGATCAAACGTTTCAAAAAGGTGAGAAAGGGAAGTAAAGCCAAAGACTGATGTTGACATCCATCAAAAGAGTCTGTTCCAATAGCTTATGAGGCAGTTGTATCAAGTGTAGCATGAACATTTATCAAGTGTAGTACTAAATATCCTCAAGCGTAGTAGTAAATTTGTAGCTAAATCCTATGAATATTTGACGGACTTCATAGGGGGTTAACTCTGTATTGGGTCAAGAGGTTTTAGGCTTGGACGTCGGTTTTAGGATATTATATATGGGAATAGTGCCTGTACAGTGTAAAATAACTGTAGAAAAGAGCATTATGGAGAACAAGACTGGCTAAGATTTGCAAAGCCCATTGTAGAAGTTTGGGATTCAGATATAGCTTACTAGAAACCTTATATTTCTACAGCATAAGATTAGAAGATCCTTTGCTTTCAGAAATCCTGATATTCCTTTTTTAAAGACACCATTTTAGCCAACCCTATCTCTTATTTTTTGGAGGTATGATTTTGG